CCTCCCCCCATACACACACACACACATTCACAGAGAGACAAATGACGGCGATTCGTCCTCTCAGCTACCCTTAAGGACTCTAACAAGAAATCTCGTATATCTCCTAAAGAAAATTAATTCAGACTTAACGTACGACTTGGACTGGACTCGAAAAATAATGAAACTGCAAGAATGAGCTCTCGAGCCTTCTCATCTGCATTAATTGCAGCATCCCGCAGAGATATCATCCCCCGGAGCGTCTTAGTCCGAACGGCAAGACAGCAGTCAAATACCCATCTAAAAACGTCACCTTACGTTTCCGGGATAGAAATAAGTTGAGACAAAAACATACAAAGGTCGATCACGGCACCCGATATTTAGTGCAAGAATGCGGATCAACAGCCGTCCCGGTACACGGGGATAAACGAAGTGAAGACCCTTGCTGGTGCGACTCAGACGCGTCTCTGGGTCAGGTCGGGGAATTCGTCTCGGGGGATCTTCAGAAGCGTCAAAGAGAGAGGTCATGAAATTGGCACTCGTATGAGAAACGGGGTCAATGACCCACGCGATTCTGGTGCCACTGGAGGTATTGGAACGGGTAGGAGGTCATGACCCAGTGCTGGCTCCGCACTCCTGCGATCCCGGCCATCCCGTTTGGACACCGCCGACCTTGAGGGTTACTGGCGGCCATGTTTGTTTAGCCTGCTGCTGCCATTTTTAGGCGGCTCCGCTATATTTAAAGCGAAACGCTTTGCTCTTGCGTGCGTCCGCCTATCTCATCTCGTACGTGCGAGAGGTCTCTCTATCAACTTGTGCTCCCCTTTAGAACTCGGTTCACACGTTATTCTTACTCGGTGGTTTCCCCGAATTTTCCTCCACGGGTGGACGTTACGTCAAGCATTTAGCGTACGGGTAAGCGTAGGTGAACGTTGATTGAAAATTATAATACAATCGATTAAATTAATAGTTAGAATAAAATTTTTCACGTAGCTCCGTCGTCACGTTAAATACGTATTCTTAAATTGTAAATTCTTACACGAATACATTATATTTCCAGGTATCGTTACGTAATTGGAGGTAAGCGGGTCGTAGAAAAAATATCCATTTTTTCTATTCTTCCTCCATCTCGGCATTTCGTAAAATTCATTTTTCCAATTACATCGATTATTAAATGCGTACTGCCAATCGCTTGGGTCAAGTAGGTTAAGGTCGAGCTGGGATAAAATTTGTATGCGTCTGCCTTTCAAAATGACCCGCCGCCCGGCTATTTTCGAGTTTCGCATAAATATTAACGTTCGGAGTGCTGCTAACTTTAGCCAGGGACCACCTCTTCGGATTGTGTCGAGGAGCTAAAGAAAAAGGCTCTCGGATCCGTGAGTTACGGGAAGAATAGGACGCGACTTCCGGCACGGGGTAGCACAGCGTGTAGGTAGATAAAAGGAAGCCGAGAAGCATATAGTTGGTGCTAAGGGACGTTCATCGGCGGCAGTCGCCATCTAGTGACTTTTATTAAATAAAATCACGAAAGAAGAAAAATATATATATATATATATATACACACAATTCAATTCACATCCTTTCAACGACCACTTTCCACTTCGTCATCCAAAGACCCGTCCAATCATTCAGATCCAATTAACATGCGCGTCTTAAGTGAAACATTGGATAACCCCATTTTCGGGCTA